GTAGTAATTCCTCAGTGAATTCTAGCCTTACTGTTACCGTCACTGCTTCCTATAAAGTTGGACCACACAAAATTGCCATTTTTATAGGGCAGAAGTGGTCTGATATTGTTAATTTCGTAAGTTTCCATACAATCTTTCCCCCTCGACTTTGGTCTATCTTATTACCATATGAAGGTGTTTAAAAAGGAACTTTGCATTCCTGCCATGTGCAGGAAACCAGCGGCCCTCTCCGTAGAAGAAGGTAGCAGTGACAGCAAGGTGATACTCTGCATTCTCCTTCAACATCTTTGCCTTCTCAAGTCACCATCCTGAAGCAGCTGTCTCATTGTTGCAGGTGGAGATTAGCAAGAACAGGAAAGGTTGGAGCGTTTAAAACCTGTGGAGGGTTGTTACTCCACGAGGTGGCCAATGTCATCCCAGAACTCCTTGGGACCCTGGAATCTGACTTGTGGGAGATGTTCTAGAAGATCACCCTGAAATGTGGCCCATATTGGGAGGCTGAAATAAGGCCACAGGATCCCAGGCTTCTCACCGCAGAGCCTCAGTAGAGGGATTTTGCCCCTGCAGGCCAAGGGCTGGAGGGAAACATATGGACCATCTAGTTCAGTCTCAAGGTTTTCCAGGTGGGCAAACCAAGACCGTGAGGAAAGCAGACATGTGTGTGTGTGGGGGGTCACTCCCCACACAGGGAAGAGCCTCCAGGAACTCAGGACCCTCACCGTGTTCCTTCTGTGCCAGCTGGAAGCTCCCTGAAAGGCGCTTCTCCCTGGGTAGCAGCTGTGGTGCCAGGCCTTCCTAAGGGGATGACCTGTCCTGACTATGACTGATCTTGGTTAGCCTTTCTTCTTCTCCATAGAGAACATCTGAGCCTTACTCATCCCTGTGCCAGACGATAGAAGAAGATGCAGAGGAAGCAATCAAACATTGAATGGGCAGCTGCCTGTGATGGTTTTGATCCAAAATGTCCTGGATGTCTCCTGTGTTTAGAAGGTGGTTGGATCAGGGTGGGGCTACACTGCAGTGGATTCACCTTTTGCTGGGTGCAGAATTCAGGATTCTGCCTGACTCCAAGCTTGCCGTCTTCCCATCTCATGGTGGTCCCGTGTTGTTGAAGGGTAGACTGGCCAAGAGGAGACCAGATACAGAGAAGGAACTGAGGCCCTGAGGGGGAGAGGTTCTCCTAAGGGAGCAGAGGCCTGCAGCCCAGCCCTGGACCCTTGACTCTGAGCTCCCAACCCACAGCTCCTCCCAGGCCAGCTTCCCTCTCAGACCCACACTGCTTCTCCAATAGTGGCAGGATGGGGCCTCCTGAGGATGTGACTCAACTGCTACCATCCAGTTCCTCCTGCCTGGCCCATGCGGGGGCCTCCTAACTGGTTCTCCTGCCCCTACCCAGCTCCTGTCTTTTCTTCTGGCAGCCACCACTGTGAAATCAGTCCAAGTGCCTGCCAGAGGAGCCTTGCACTGGTTTGCCACACCCCTTACAACAATCTCCTAGGGAATCCTGGCCTGCTGGCCCTACAAAGTCCCTCCGAACTTCCTCCTCCTTATCCCATCTCCTGCTCCATTTCAGAAGCCCTGGTCTATCTGCCACTCTTGAAAGATATGAAGTATGCTGTACCCATCCTCAGGGCTTTGTGTTTGCTGTCCCCTTGTCTTGTAACACCCTGCCTGCAGACGTCTGCATAGCACTAGATTTGGAACACATTTCTTTAGACAGCGATTGCCTGTCTGCACTGCAGTCTGAGCTCCAGGGCCAGGGCCCAGCCCCCACAATGAAGCACCTGCCCCGTGGTCAGCTTGATCCACAGTGTCCAGCTGCCTCATCTGGCACAGCCCACCTGGGGTTCCCCCAAACAGAAGAAGTGACAGGCACATCTCCTCGGGTGCCCAGGACTGGCCCGAAGTGCCCACATTGTTCCCAGAAATTAGCAGCGGCCGCTGTGTCCAGGGAAAGCACTCCATCCCACAGGCTCCAGTCCTGGAGGGAGAAAAGAAAAAAGACACGCATGATCCCCAGGAGGGCCAGTTCTGGGGCCTTTTCCCTGCCTGCAACACACACTTCATTGAATTTTTATAGTGGAGGGAGATGTGGGGTCCTTTGAGCGTCGATATCCTCGTGGGCAAGTCTAAGTGTCAGACAATGAGCAGGGGAGCGGCACACGAGCACATTGGCCCGGCTGTCAGTCTTGCCCAGATTAACAACTTCATCTGAGCCTTTGTTGATATTGACACTCGGTTGCTAGGTAACATGTTTACTGCCCAGTGAATAGGGCTTGAAGGCCAGAGGGGCACAGTCAACAGATTGGCACATAGGGTGGACGTGCCATGACTTGATGTGCCCGTCGTGGTGCCCGAGAGTGGAGTGGGGAAGTTCCCAAACTTTCTGGGGAACTCTCCAGGGTCAGCATAGCTTCGTGCTCGGGCGGGGCAGGTCAAGGGAGCAGTTGTTTTCACCCGGGTCACGCTGACCCTGGTGATCCCGGCCTCTCCAAAGGAGTGCTTCTGTTCAGCAGGGCCCCAGTACTGCAACACTCCTGGGGCCTAAAGAGGCCCCGCTGATCCTCAGCATGCTCCGTGCCTCCTGTCCACAGTGTGCAGTCCTGGAAAGAACGTACTGCTGAGAGTCAGAGTGCCCCTGTGGCTGGGGGACTGTGGATGCATGGCTTGACCCCTGTGCCTGCCTGCCGTGCCCTGCCTAGATTATCGGGGTACTCCAAGGAAAGGAAGGGCCAGCCTTTATTAAGTACTAGCTGTGTACCCGGCTCCACGCTGGTGTGGCCGGTCATTCCCTTTGACTCTACTGCTAGTCTGTGAAACGAGCTATGGGTTCCCTCTTCTGATAGTTCAGGGGTTGAGTCTGTATTATGCAATCAGCCTGAAATACCTAGGAGAATATTCAGTCTATAGACTCAAGAAACCTCTCATCCCGCTGACCTCCCCTGCTTTTAAGGCAGAGCCTCCAGAGTGAGCTAGTGAGTGCTAAGCATGCTGGGGAAGCAGAGAGCCACAAGGAAACAGTTGAAACAAGCTGAAGCAAGGGAAACCAGGTTGATCTCAGAGACAGGGCTTCTGCCCACAGTGACTTGACCAAGACACAGCATGAGTTTCCAGGCTGGAAGGGGAAGGGGGTTAAAAAGTTGAGGAGAGGCCCAGGGAGATGAGGCCATCCCTACTCTTAACCGGCACAGAGCCTGGGGGCTGAAGATTTGCACCTTCTCCACCCTAGAGGAAGTGGACACAGACAGGTGAAATGGGCCTGGTGGTTGCTGTTTGTCCTCTGTAGTCAGGCGTGATCCAGCTGTATAGTCAGTACTCCCCATTCTTGCTCTGACTGGATGCCCAGCCACACATCTGAGATCTCTCCCAGTCTGTGCGGGGGCCTTCTCTCTTCCCACTACCAACTGCACCTTCTTTCTGCTAGGCTCTGCAGCTACGGTGGCAGCTGTGGCAGAGAGAGCCTGGGGTCTCTGCATTTACAGGGCCATCAGTGGAGCAGAGGAGATAGACCTTATCTCATTACACCTGTGCTGGGTTCTGTTGGTCAGTTTTCTCTTGCTATGACAAAATGCCAGAGCAAAACAGCCTGAAGGAGGGTTTATTGTGGTTCACTGCTTTGGAGATTGCATCAGTCCATAGCAGCTCACCTCACTGACAACTGGGAAGTAAAGCGGGGAGAACCAGGGGTGAGATACAGTTTCCAAGGACACTCTCCCTTCACCAAGACCCTCCCCTGTGAGCCCTCATGGCCTGGATGGGACAGCACTCTGGCAGGACTAGGCCAGCTTGTTGCAGGATTGAAGAAGAGGGACCCAGTCACATTCCTGCGGGCAGCTTAGAGCAAGCATCATACAGAGGATCTGGATGCAGTCACAAAGGGTGATCATCCGTCTACCCAAGAGACAAACCAAGGTGGGGTAGCCTGGGGCTGGGCCAGCCTGGGTTTCCATGACAGCTTGGCAATGCTGGAGCCTGGCCTAGGTGAGGTGAGCGGAAGGCAACAGCAGGTACAGAGAAGAGGGGCTGGGATGCTGGCGGAGGTATCGATCACTTAGGAGACAGGAAGCCACCATCCCAGAGATGGACGGGCTTAGACACGCCTGCCAAAGGCATCATCACTCTGCAGTCCATGTCTGGAAAGGGAAGCTGGAGGGAAGGGCTTGGGAGAGAAGTAGAAGGGCCCAGAGGACGGACGCTCAGGTTTCCAGCCCAGCAATGCCACCACCTGGCTGTGTGTCCTGGCCCCCGTTTCTCCACTTGCAGAGGACGAATTTCCCAGAAGCTTTATAACAGCCTTTCCTGCTCTGAGATGTTGTGGCCTCCTCCCATGGACCCTACACAGCAATGAGGCTCAGCCCAGGCCTGTAGGAGCCTCAGAAAGTGTTGCCAGGTGAGTATCTTGGAGAAAGGGTTTCAGGAGAATGGCTTCCTATGTGACCCTGCCCACTCCAGCATGCCTGGGATGGCAAAGGCTGAGCCATCCCATTAATATTCCCTCCAGGAAGCCTTGCCAGACAGGGAGGAGGTAGGGGGCAGATGGGGCACTGAGAGGCCAAGTAATCTGCTTAAGGTCACCCAGCAAAGCAGCAGCAAGCTGGACCCGGCCCCAAGCCTCCAGATGTCCAGTCTGATGCCCTGCCCACTGGACCATGAGGCCTTTAATGAGGCCACCTCCACAGGGGCTGCAGGCTGGCCCATCGCCCAGGGCCAGTGACTTGCCAGGCATCCCAATCAGCCACTCTGGAGAGGCTCTGCCCTTGGCGGCTAGGCACAGAGGCTGGGCATGAATGTGCCAACCAAGACTGGCTGTTCTGCAAAGTGGCCTCCAGGTCTGAGCATGCCCAGCGCTCTGACCAGGACTCCTGTGGAAGAGGGTTCTATGTCCAGAAAGAGAGTAGGTGTATCTCAGGGGCTGTGGTTTTGTTGCAGGCCACACTGCAAGGACTCCTTGCCCAGGCCCTCCAGGGGTCACCTCAACTGGCCTGAGCTGTGGAGCCTTGCACTCAGCATTGGCAATGTCTGTAGTCAGCAGGCCCCATCCTGAAGACCAGAGCGATGGCTGCATGGTGATGCCTGGATCCAGCCCTTCTTGTTCAGAAGAGAACACCAAGGGTCAGAGGGGCAGGACTGTACTTGGGTCACACTGGAAGATGATGACTAAGGTATGACTCAGATGGTGTCTCCTTGATCCCAGGCCAGTCCTCGTGCATTGCCTGTAAGGTCTCAGATCTGTCTCCGCCCTGGCAATCCCTGGAAAAGCCACCCTCTGCTGAGCCATGGCTAGGACTCACCGGCAGAGCCAAACTCCTGGGAGCTGCCTTCCTGTTTTCCTCTGGGCCTTGCTGTCTTTGCAGGAGACCTGCCTCAGTATCCTGAACTGCAAGCAGGGGGCATGAACTCACAGACAGGGCAGACCAGAGCAGGCAAGGGGCACAGATTCCCCCTGGAGGTACTGGGAGGGTTTTGGAGCATAAAAAGGTTGCTGCCCAGAGTGCCACGACAGGAGGACAGACAAGAAACTGAGCAAGCAGTACCACCACCCAGGGCTTGGGGTTGAGTCCCAACCCTGTCACTTGCTCAACCCTTGTAGTCTTGAATTTTCATTTACGTTTAGGAATTTGAGGGTGTTACATGGCAGGAAGACCCTGAGGGCCCCTCTCTCCAAAGCTAAGGCTCCTGCACCCAGCCTGAGAGGCAGGGCCAGGGGCTGGGATGCCAGGGCAGCAGAAGCAGGGCTCTCTCTGCCTGCCACCCTCCCCTGGTAGCTGGCAGTTGAGCCCAGTGAAGGCTGGGGGTGCCATTTTTCCCAGGGCTGGCCCTCCCCCTCCTCCTCCTCTTCCCCTTCCTCTCTTTGCTTTCAACAGCACCCCCCTAACAGACACACACATAGACACACACACACCTCAAAGAGACTCAATTCATTTACTCCCTTCCCCCACCCTAGCCCTAGTCTTTCCAAGAATCTTCTGGTCCTGTTCCCCACTTCCCCTTGCCCCAGCCTTTTGGGGGCTGAACAGGGATGGGTCACCAAAAGAAGGGGTGAGGGAGGGGTAAAGTGAAAAGCGCATGTCTAACAACAACAACAAAACCTCCTGGCACCCTACATTATACTCCAAAAGCTGGAAACACACAACAAGCCGGCATCTGTGTGGAATAATAAAACCGGGTGTGGACGTGTCATTCTCACAGGGCATTTGGCTGAGCCTGGGCAACGCGAAAGCATGCATAGTTAACACTCCTGACTGTGTGAAGCCCTTTGTCGCGGGCACCGGCTCTGTGAGGGACCCAGGGCCCGGGGCTTGGCAAGGACTTGAGACATTTCTTGGAATGGTTTCTTGTTCATCACTGACACTCGTAATGAGAAATTTATACACCATCCTAAGCGGATAAATTAATTTCAAACACTTTAGACTTTGGAAGACAATGGTTCCTGGCAGGACCCTTTATCACCTGCTTTATTAAAAAAAAAAAAAAGAAGAAGAAAGGAAGAAAGAAAAAAAAATACCCTCAGGACATTCTAAACAAAACCCGTGTGCCTGCCCGGCTCTGGAGCTTGCTGTCCAGAGCTGGGGGAGCCCCTGCTCAGTCCCCACACAGGCCAGGTCCATGGGTCACTTGGAAACTTCATTAAAGGGTGTGCAGCTCCTCGGGTTGTCCCCTCACCCCTGGGGAACACAGCTTCCGCTTGCCCCTGGCTCCATTTGAACTTGGCATTCTGGCCAAGGAGTGGGGTTTCTCGGGCTGCATTTGTGAAAGGTAATTAAATTGTGATAATGTTTCCATTCAGATCCCAGCTTGGGTGAAGCTTGGGGACTCATCAGACAGACAAGTTCTTGCCATCCACTGAGCACACAGGCCAGCTTGGCAAGAGTCCCTGACAGGGTGTCCTGAGCCTCCAAACCGAGCACGCAGGAGAGAGAGCAGGAGGGATAGGCGGGCAGTGCTGCATGATCCCAGCCTAGAGTTCTCTTGGGAAGCCACTGCTCATTGTACCTGCTGGTGGGCATCAAGGAGAACCAGAAACGGGGATTCATCTCCAGGTGGCCACAAGCTGGGTTCTGTGCTGGGCCTTAGGCCCTTGAGCTTCCTCCCAGGAATACAGAGAGTGAGAGGAAGGCACAGGAAAACTGTCGGGGCAGGAGAGGCATCCTGTCTGGGCCAGAGACCTGCCTTTGGCCATGGCACTGCCCACTCGGAAGACCACTTAGAATCCATCAGGTCTGCGACCCGCCTGCCCAGGCATATCACTGCTCTGTCCCCAGCTTACCTGCCTGCCCGCACTCCTCATCCTACCCAAATGCACCACCAAAGCAGGCTGGAGTTCATGTAGAAATTAGCCATCTACTCAGTGCTTTGGAATAAACAGGAGACATGAAAGGCACTAAAGGGGAGTGGTATCTTTCTCTACTTTATACAACTATGCTAAGTGAAAATGAAATGTATAGGGAACATAATAAATCATAAATTGTATAAGCTTTCAAAAAGATCTTTTAAAAATTATTAAATGAGAAACAGCTGTTTCCATGAACAAAACTTGGTTTTGTGTCAGCTGGCCCTGGCCACATGCAATTCCAGAGCAAGAAGCTTTTTGGTTTGTTTTTAAATTTTTTAAATTTTGAAATAATTACTGAGTCACAAATAGTTGCAAAAATAGTATGGTGAGGTCCTGTGTACCCTTCACCCGGCTTCTCCCAATGGAGAGTGGTGGAGTTCCAGAAGCTGGAGGCAGATCGGTGTTTTTAATAAGTAGGTCTCCAGATCTGCGCCCCCAGGGACAAGAAGCATGGATTCACACAAATGGGTGACCAAAATCTAAAGCTAGCTTTCAACAACTGAATTTAAAGAACCAGCCAATGGCTCTTCCTTTTCCTTCCTGACTGTGCCTCCTCTTCCACTCACCTTTACTCCTGGTCCTCTTCTTCCTCCTCTCTCTTCTTCCTGACCTCTTCCTTCCCAGCTCCACTGCTCCCACTCCCCCTTGTTCACAGGCTCCTGCTCCTCATGGTCACCCCCCCAACACACACACACACGCACGCACGTCCCACCTCCCTGGCTTGCCTTCCTCTCAGCTCACTACCTCCCTACTCTCCTTTTCCCTTGATCGCCCTCCTCCCTGCCCCATCTGAGTGGTTTTTTAATTCAAGGACTGGTTCTTGCGTTTGGTGAGTTCCACTCTTTCAGAGAATGGGTCAGACAGGCTTTTGGATCTCTACTTGAGTCCCTGACTTTGTGGAGTGGGACCACTGAGTCCTGCAGGTCCCTGCTCAGTATTGGGGTCTCCCCAGCATGCACAGAGCACTCAGAGCACTCGGCCAAGTGCTCGGTCTTGGATTCCCGGTAGGCCTGGGAGAGGTTGTGAGGCTCTAAAAGCAGGGGAGAAAGTGGAGAAAGTCCTGGGAGAAGCTTTGGGGCTGGTGAGAAGGGCTGGCCCAGGGTGGTCAAGTCCTGTGCCTCTAATTTCAAGCTGTGTGTCCTGAGTCCTGGTCTCAGTGGAAAACAGATCTTTCACCGTTGCCACTCTGCTACATAAACTCCAGTTGGGCTCTTCCTTACAAAAGGGAAAAGAGTCCCAACTCCAAGGCTGCAAAGCCCCTAAACCCCTGACCCTACCCTTGACCCTGACCTCTGGCTCCCTCAGGTTTAGTAGCACAGCTCTGTGCATCTTTTTGCTCCCCCACCTGGTGTACAGCCCATTTCCCAGTCTGGGTTGGGCACCTCCCATCCCCTCTGCCCTTCATGTGGCTCAGGGCTCCTCCTTCAGACTCCATCTCACCCCCATCCCAGAGTAGTCCACCTATTTTTCCATCTCTTTGGCTTGCTGAGCAGGGTGCTGTCCATTTTCTGAAGATAAACAGCACCTTATTATAATGTGAACCATGTGACTTGGCACTCAAGCTCCCTGTGCCTCAGTTTCTCCCACGATAAAGGCAGAATAGTGACAGCATCCAGGTCATGGGATTATCAGAAAATATAAATTAGGAAATATATAGAAAGAGTTTAGAGCAGTGACCAAGTCAAGAAATGTTCTAGCTGTAATACCATTTTCTAAAACTGCCTAAGTTCTGCTCTTGTGTATTTATTCATTCATTTATTTATTTATTTATTTATTTATTTATTTATTTATTTATTGGTACCAGGGATTGAACTCAGGCTTGTGCTTGTATTTATTCATTCATTTATTTATTTATTTATTTATTTATTTATTTATTTATTGGTACCAGGGATTGAACTCAGGACCTTGTGCTTGCAAGACAGGCACGGTGCCACTGAGCTGAATCCCTGGCCCTCTTGTGCATTTTTAAATTTTGGCTCCCTGCAGCACATGCTTCCCCACAACAGGAAGGGCAACCTTCCTGTGGTGCTCTTGTTCCTGTTACATCAATAGGGCCTGAAGATGCCAGGCAGGGGCAGGGTGTTAGTTGCATATGGGTTGAATGAAGGAATGAGCGCAAGGAATGTCCCCTCCTGCCTTTCCCTGCAGTGCACCTGCACTCCTCCAGGAGTCTTGGATGCACCTGCCATTCAAGGGCAAGCTCTGTTGGGACTCAGTTCCAGTTCCGGTTCCACCTCCTCCTCCTAACCACGTGACCTCGGCATGTCACTTGACCTGTTGAAGCCCGGCTTTCTCAAATGTCAACTGAGGATGATCAAACTGCCCCAGCCTCCAGGAACGGTTGTGAGGATTAGGCAAAGGTATGTTTATACGAAGCCTAGTAATGTTTGTGATCTGCTTAGGTGCTGCTTCTGTCATCTGAATATTTTATAAGCACATTTTCTAAGTCTTTATTGAATGTGTTACTAGTAACGCTTCAGGACAGGAGCAGATGATAGTCACAGAGCTCTTTGGTACCCTGCAGGAGATTTCTGCCAGGTGAACATGAGGCCAGCAGTTATAATTCTTTGCAGACAATTGTTTAACCAGTTGAAAGTCCAATGGCCTTCTTTTACCTTTCAGCACTTCCTCTACCGGCCCAGTGGAGCCACAGACAATCCAGTGCCTTCAGTGTAAGAAACTCTGGCAAAGACTCGCTCAAAGTCAACACACTTTCTGTTGACCACTTCCTTTAACCTCCGACTCTCAAATGTCAACACAGAAAGGGAGAGGAGCTTGTCGTGGCCTTCTCTCAGGAAAAACACATTCCTTCTAGAATGTTTTCAAATCCTTCTCTACATTTAGATAAGGAATGTAGTTAGCTTGTAGAGGAAGAAGAAAGAAAGAGAAGTATGTTTATTTGGCTTTTTTGGAAAGTTACATGCATTATCTCATGTGAGTCTCAGCATCAGCCTGTACATTACATGTTACTATCCCATTTCACAGATGAGGAACGTCAGGGGCAAAGACATATACAAAATCAAACCAGCCAGAAAGATTCTTTCACAGCTCTTTCTAATTCTAAACTTTGTTTTTCTTCCTCAAAACCATGCTGCCTCCTACCAGCTGTAGTTGCTAAAAATGTACTTGCTTCCTGTTTGGGGGATGACAAATTTGGTTGTGTATCCAGTTTCTAACTTCATGATTTCTTCACGATTCCTGACAGAGGATCTGAGTTCACATCTGCAAATTTCTCTGGTATCCTGGGAGGTCATTTGTCTGGGCCAAGAAGCTGGAGCTCATTTGAGGCCACCAGGTGCTCCCTCGCTGTCCTTTCTCCTATCTCGCAGCTGCACTCCTCTTTCTGTGATGTGAAGCCAGCAGTCCCCATGGAGTGACCCTTTTCCTGGCTGCCACAGGGGGCCACGGCCCTCTGCACTCTCAGTCCCCACCATGTGAAAATTATTAAGCCTTCAACATGCTCTTACACACAGCAGTGATGGCCAGCAAGTAAGAAGGGCCTCCTCTCAAATAAATAATGGCCACTGTTGACAGTGGATGTATAAACACAACCTCGATCCATGAACTGTTAATCGCTGTCCCTGTTCAACACCGGTCTTCACTGAGCACACATGTGGCCCAAGGCTGATGCTCCCAGAGGATGACAGAAAGGCCAGCCACTTCATTGCCATCACATGGGAAACCAAGTCAGTTTATTTCATAGTTCAGGAAAGCAGCCAGGACTACACTTAGTGCTGGGTAGGCGAGTGACTCTGTTTAGTTCGGGCAGATAGGTCCCTTAGAGAGTCATAAACATGCATCACACATACACAAAGGAATGCTCTTTCGTACACACACACACACACACACACACACACACACACACGTAACAGGCACACACACGAGCCTGTGAGTGCTCAAGGAAATGCATTGGTGCATATACATGTACACAGGATGCAAACACACAAGCATAAGTGTGCACACGGGTACACAAATGTATGTGGATGCATTGCACCTACCTGAGGCCCGCTTGGCTTTTTTTAGATCACCAGCAAGGTGTGTGACATGTAGTCATAGAAGCAAGGTCCTGATGCCCTGTTTTCATACACTTTGTGTTTTGAATGCAGACCATACAGCCTTTGGCCAAGTAACTTATAAGTTTTGGCTACAAGTAAGCCGAAATAGCAATGCTTAGGCAAAAACAGAATTTGAATTGTCTGTCACATAAGAGTCCATAGAAGGTGGTCCGGGGCTCTACGAAGTCCTTGGGGCCCAGATTTCTTCTAGATTGTTATGCACCATGTGTGGCCTTCCTTCCCAAGGAAACCCCATGTCAAGATGTCTATTCGAACCATCATCCACATTCTAGCCTCCTGGAGAAAGGGGTAAAGGTGTGTAGCTGCCTTTGAATACACATTCCAGAAGCGGCCACATGGCACTGCCTATTAGCGAACTTTTAGTTATATGGCCACACTACTCTGCAAGGGAAGCTGGGAAACAATCTCCAACTGCAGCAAGGAACCTCGCTTGATGCCTTCCAGTTGCTGGCACGCCCTATCTCCAGACTGCAGCCACTCACAGAAGATACAGCAACAATGGAGAACAGGAGGAGGGAAAATTGCTGACACCCTCCAGGAGGCCATACACTGTGCTAGACACTTTACATCCACAGTCTTATTCGAAACCGTAGAACCTCTGTAAAAGGATATGCATCACTGAGTCACAGAGGAAAGGCAAAACACCTTTGCTGAGGCCATAGCTGTCAAGTGGCAGAGCTAGACAGGATATAGGAGTGTGCTTAGCTCTGTTTCATCCTTCAGCTACACTTGGCTCCACTGTGCCACCCCAATGCTATTTCTTTTTTTTTTTTTTTTTTTTTTGGTACTGGGGATTGAACTCAGGCCCTTGAGCTTGCAAGGGAGGCCACCGAACCATCCCTACCCCAATGCTATTTCAGTATGAGCCTCAGTGGTCCCTGGCTGCCTCCTGCCCTGCACATGGAAGGGTTTGGAGGCCTTGGTGTGGTCATCTCCTTTGGGCCCAAGCATCTCCCCTCTGAGGCTTTTCTGCAGGGGTACTGACCCCCAATGTACCACCCCCAGGAAGATCTATTTTGCTGGCCAGACAAGAGCCTGTTTATACTACAGTCCACCCCTCCACTCACCAGACTGAGGGGCACGGCTGAGCACAGGAACCCAGCCACTGAGCCCCGCTGTGACCTTGGGTAAGCAACTGTTCTGACTCAACATCCTTGGGCATGGCCAGCTGTACTGGCCTTGCATGCCAGGCACATGAATCAGGAAGGGGACAGAATTCAGTCCTAGCATGTACAGATGTTCTTGGAATCACAGTGAAATTCCATCTCAATAAACTCATCACAACTTAAAAATATCACAAGTCAAGAATGCACCAAATGCACTTAATGTGCACAGCATCCATGCCCAGCAGCTAGACAGCACCACGGAGAGTGCTGGTGTCTCCCCTCCAGATGGGGGTGGGGGCCGGGAGTTGTGGTCACTGCTGCTGTTCAGCATTACGATAGGGGACCAGGATGCATAGCACTAGCCTGGGAAAAGGTCAAATTTTAAGCTATTATTTTGACAGAAGGAATCACTTCTGCACCATCATGAAGTGACAATTGTAAGTTGGGGACTGACTGTGCCACTGATCTTCTCGGTGGGCTTTTTGGATGGTCAGTGCTTGAGGCCGGCTGGTCAATTTTGCTGGTATCTGCAGAGGCCAGAGATTTGAACTAACCAGCTATGTGGGGGTGGAACTGAAGAGGGTCACATGATGGGAGCTGTGCTGAGATATAAACTCCACTGTAGGGGAATGGCTAACAGGGACGTGGTAAGATACAAGTGAAGCCCTCTGACTTGGGGCTCAGCCTACCTGGAAGCCCCAGCTATATGAATGGACAGATGGATAGGTAGATGGAGGTAGTGTAATCCGAGACAGCTACCTACCATGTCTTTTCAGGACCATGCACTCACCTGATCCTGTTTCCCATTAGCTCAGTACATTCTGAATGAGTGAATGAGGCCAGAGACCAGCACAAGGTCTGGGTGCTGCTTCATCACTGAGGCACAGGAGAGCTCTCAAGTTCTTACCCCTAACTCTGATCACGGTCCCCCAAATGAAGAGAATTTGCTCTCACTGGCGTTAGGGACCGCAGGTCACCAAGCGGAAGTGCACAGGAGCTGAAGAGAGCACCTTTTGGACAGCTTATTTCTTGGCAAGATTAAGCTGGCTCTCTACAGAGGAGCCCGTATTGCAGGCCTGCAGGGAGGACCGGGCCCTCGGAGTTTGCACCTTTTTACCCGGCATCTGTCCCTGGGATCAGAAGAGCCGGGAGGCTGGATTAGATGGGTCAGCGCCCTGATTGACAGTGACACTTCCTCCCGAGCCCTTGCCTGCCCCCGGCCTCTCCTGCTGTTCCTCTCCTGTCTCACTCAGCCCCATTCTGTTCCCGAGAGCAGAGATGCCTTCTAATCTCCTTACCAGGAAATTATTTTCCTGGGTGTGAAATCCCTGTCCGAGGGGAGGGCAGGAGATCAGTGCTGCTCTGGCCTCCAGGCTGACCACAGGCCATCTCCTGGAGACATCTGGCATGGCAGTGGGGCAGTCACAGCTAGAGGTGGGCAAAGCGCAGGCCCTTCTGCCCCCAAATGTGGCCCTGACCTCCAAGGTGGGCCATCCCCAAACTGTCATCTTGAATCCCCTTTCAAGGGATTTTTGAAAAATGATACATGTCTTCTAGTTGGTGACTGCCCCCTCTGGGAGCAAGTCCATTAACCTAAGTCAAATTTGTAGAATTGTCCCTAGGGCAAATAAACCCTTTATTATTATCATATTGAGATTTGGCTTGCCGTAGAGAAAGGTTGAACACAGTTTTACTACGGATGTGTTGGAAATCTTTGCAGATTCCATCAAATAAAGATGAGTAGATCCTTCTGGAATAGGGTGGGCTCTTAATCCAATATGGTCTTTGTCCGTATAAGAAAAGGAAAAAAAAAAAAAAAACTACACACACAGGGACAGACCCTCAAGAAGAGGGCCACGTGAAGATGGTCTTCTAAACGCTAGGAAGCGTTCGAGCCAGTCACTGAGGGAGCATGGCTCTGCCTGTGGCCCCATTCTGGGCTTGCGGCCCCCAGAAGTGCAAGAGAATAAGTTTCTGTTGTTTGTTTGTTTTGTCTTCTTGTTGCTAGGGATTGAACCCAGGGCCTCACACACACCAAGCATTCACCTTACCCTTAAGCCCCTAATTTTAAAAACATTTCTGTTGTTCAGAGCCACCCAATTCATGGCACTGGGTTATAGCAAAAGAAAACTGACACCATAACCTGATTAATAGTGTCACTGACCATGACAGGTGCTTGGCTACTGCTATCTGTCCCACGTGGCAAGAGCTGGGAGAACATAAAGGAGCCAGGTCTGAGGGAGTTTGGGCACCTGCTCCCCACTCCCAGGCTTAGTCCTAGGCTCGGATGGGGCCGATGAGGATTTCAGGGCTGTGGGAAGAGTGGCTTTTTGATGTTCATCCCTGACCTCCTGGCCACAGGTCAGCCATCAAAGGTGAAGCGGGTGTGGTCACAGTCTGGCCGACAGAGTTAAGGGGTCCACAACACCTCTGAGAGAATGCAGCTGCCTTTGAACCAGGCCCACTGGATGAACCGACAGAAAGCAGGCCCCGGGTGGGCCTACCCTTCTTTGCCCAGAATTTCCCTTCGCATGAGACCCTGTCCTTCCGCTACA